GGCCATCTTAAAGGGACTGCCAAAGAAAAGGGGTCTCACCCTAGCCGGTTTGGCTCAGTGGATAGAGTGTTGGCCTGGGGACTAAGGGGTTCCTGGTTCAATTCTGGTCAAGAGCACGTACCTCAGTTGCAGGCTACCATTCCTGGTTGGGGGCATCTGGGAGGCAACCAATTGATGTGTCTCTCACATCGGTGTTTCTCTCTGTCTCTCCCTCTCCCTTCCATTCTCTCTAAAAATCTATGGGGGAAATATCATTGGGTGAGGATTTAAAAAAAGGAGGGGTCTCAACTATGAGGAATCTCCTTGTAGAATTCTGAAGACCAGGGCTTGCAGAAGGAGCATAATCAGCCAGGGAGGTTAGTTACTAAGTGGTCTTTGAGAAGCCCTTGGAGATGACCAAGAAAAAGGGTAAGCTTTTAAACACTTGTCAATGCACAGAAGCAGCTCTAGACAGTTAGCGTCATAGTTGGAGGATAAAGTCCCATATGTTTAAAATGGTTTATAATTCCTCCTTTCCCAGCCACATTTCAACCCCTTTCTCTCACCAGCTATACTAAACTTCCTCAGGTGTCTGAACTCACCTTCTTTCTAGGCTGAGGTCTAGGGAAGCCTATGATTTTCTCTGAGTAATCCTGTTCCACGCAAACTGTTCCTAGGCTCAGGGAGGGGGGCTGTCATTAGCCTGGTAAAGATAAGATGCCCATTACAGGGACAGTAGCAAATGAGATTCACATTTTTCCAGAATTTGTGGTTATCCATTGTGTTAACCAGCACCGTGATGGAAATTGAAGCAGACCATAGAACACAGTGGCTTCCATGTTAAGCCCACCATGTCAACTGGCTTAAGTCAGCTTAAAGATGAATTCAAGAATGGAAGGAGAGCAAGAGAGTAAGGCAGGGATGGGGAAACAAGACTGTTTTTTGTGGCATAGCTGAATGCATGCCAATAAATAATGAGGTGTTAAAAGAAGAGAGTGAAAAATACATGCTAAGGCAGCGGTTCTCAACCTGTGGGTCGCGACCCCTTTGGGGGTCGAATGACCCTTTCACAGGGGTCGCCTAAGACCACTGGAAAACACATATATAATTACATATTGTTGTTGTGAGTAACCACTATGCTTTAATTATGTTCAATTTGTAACAATGAAAATACATCCTGCATATCAGATATTTACATTACAATTCATAACAGTAGCAAAATTACAGTTATGAAGTAGCAACGAAAATAATTTTATGGTTGGGGGTCACCACACCAGGATGAACTGAATTAAAGGGTTGCGGCATTAGGAAGGTTGAGAACCACTGTGCTAAGGGGACTGAAAGAAATGAAGAATCATTATATACTTTGAGTTTGGGGTGGACCCTGGCAGGTGTGGCTCAGTTGGTTGAGTATCATCCCATGCACTAAAAAGTCGCTGGTTGGATTGCCTGTCAGGGCACATGCTGGATTTCAGGCTCCATCCCTAGTAGGGAGTATGCAGGAGGCAGCTGATTAATGTTTCTCTCTTATATTGATGTTTCTTTCTCCCACTCCCTTCCTCTTTTTCTCTTCTCCCTCCCTTTCTTTCTCTTTCAAATCAATAAAAACATATTTTTTAAAAAGAGTTTGGGGTGGGCTTCATATCATCCAGCCTCCAGGGACTGTCACCAGGTAGCTATCATAAAATGAATGCCTGGGAATTCCTTATTTGGGAATAGTAGTGAGAGCTAACTGAGGCCAGGGATTAAGGAGAAATTGTTGGATTGGCAAATGAGTGTGGATTGGAGAGAGCACAAATGCCAGGGTGAGGGAGCAAAATGCCCATGGGCAGCCCATGTAGTGAAAGAATGATTTTTGAGGAATTAAATGATATTTGAATGTATTAAAGCTCTCTCTCTCTTTTTTTTAAAATATATTTTATTGATTTTCTACAGAGAGGAAGGGAGAGAGATAGAGAGTTAGAAACATCGATGAGAGAGGAACATCGATCAGCTGCCTCCTGCACATCTCCTACTGGGGATGTGCCCACAACCCAGGTACATGCCCTTGACCGGAATAGAACCTGGGCCCTTTCAGCCCGCAAGCCGACGCTCTATCCACTGAGCCAAACCGGTTTCGGCTAAAGCTCTCTCTTAATGAACCCATGCCAGGCTGTCTCAAAACAAGGGAAGGAGTTAAGAAAGCTATGAAGGGAGACCAACAGGGGGAGAGCTATCCTTTCCCCTCCCCCCTCAAACCCTAGAGATGTATTATTAACACATTTTGATTTTAAAATAAAATCTTTATGGTTAGCTAAGATTTTGAGTGATTCAACAGTTTCTCCTTTGTGGAGGCCAGGTAGAGGTTGTTGCCTAGGTATACAGGGGGAGAATTTAGGTTACATCTCCCATCAGACTAGGGCAGCGTTCTCAACCTGTGGGTCACAACCCCTTTGGGGGTCAAATGACCCTTTCACAGGAGTCGCCTAAGACCACCGGAAAACACATATATAATTACATATTGTTTTTGCGATTAATCACTATGCTTTAATTATGTTCAATTTGTAACAATGAAAATACATCCTGCATATCAGATATTTACATTACGATTCATAACAGTAGCAAAATTACAGTTATGAAGTAGCAATGAAAATAATTTTATGGTTGGGGGTCACCACAACATGAGGAACTGTATTAAAGGGTCGAGGCATTAGGAAGGTTGAGAACCACTGGACTAGGGTATCAGCACAAGGCATCCCCAAAGTACCACTAGTGATCTATCCTTCCACACACCTATCCACCCACCCACCCACCTATCTTCCATCCACACCAGCAAATGAACGTTTTTCTGGGTGCCCACTATGTGCCACATTCTGGGCTGTGCCTAGGTTGAACAATAAATGTTCTCTCCAGTGTATGTCTATATATTGGGGGTGAGGAAGATAAAACAAGAATGGCAAAATTCTGATAACTGTCACAGCTGGAAGATGAGTACTTGGAAGTTCATTATAGTATTTCTTCTGCTTTTATAGTATGTTTGATAATTTTCCTAATAAAGTTAGATAACTTCCTTCCCCTTTGCTTACAGTCAACAGAGATAAGTAGATACTCAGATTTGGCCAACATTTCCTGAGCACCTACTATGCGCCAGGCGTTGTACAAAGTCTTTGGATCACATTCTGCCCGCCATCTTACAGAGGTTAGAACCAGGGGCCGAGAAATTCCTTATGGTGTGGGGACGTGACACAGTCAGTCACGGGCAGTTCAGGACCCTGTGCTTCCAATGCAAGCCCTGGAGAATGGGTCAGAAACTTCGGATCAGGCTACGTGGCTCTGAGCAAGTACCTGGGCCTCCCTGAGCTGACTCAGTTTCTCTCCCCATAAAAAGGGCACAGTAAAACCTTGTAAGGTTTCTTTAAGGGTCACAGACCTTTACTGTCAAGGTCCTGGCACCAAGTGAAGGCTCCATAAGTGGCAGCCATCATTCTTGGCCAAGTGCGGACGCAGCTTGCAGCGGGATCCCTCGGGCAGGGCCGGGCCCGCCCCCGCAGCTCGGGCCTCGCAGTCTCCCGGTAGGTGGCCCGGCATCTCGGTGCCCACGCCCCGCAGCGAGCGGGGAGAGCGGGCGGGTTGGAGGACTAAGGTCTCCCCTGGAGTATCACCTCCCTCCTTCCGCATGCCGCGCGCAGGTGAGATTTTCAGCCCAGGCCACGGGGACAGCGACCTCAGGAGAGGTCG